GCAACTGTGAACATTTAAATCCATAATAAAAAAGCTTAAAAAGAAACATTCATATTATCTGTCAAAATTATAAAAAAATAAAAATCTAATTCTGCCAAGCTCAACTATAATGCCCTCAATAAGCCTGAATTCCACATTTAATGAGTACTTTTGGAATTTCATTATCATTTTCTGAAGCCTAGGCAATGGGTTACACTGCAATGGTTTATGTTCTGTTTCTGTCTCAGCTGTAAACCCTTCTAGCTACCAGAAATAATTGCTAGCATTTATTCTTCAACCTGAACATAGACAGGGCCGGCTCCAGGCACCAGCTTGCCAAGCAGGTGCTTGGGACGGCCACTCCGGAGAGGGGCGGCATGTCCAGCTGTTCGGCGGCAATTTGGCGGACGGTCCCTCACTCCCGCTCGGAGCGAAGGACCTCCCGCCGAATTGCCGCCTCAGATCGCGGCTTTTTTTTTTTTTGCGCCGCTTGGGGCGGCAAAAACCCTGGAGCCGGCCCTGAACATAGATCTGTTGTGTTTTAGTTATTTGTCACTGAACAATTGTGTTGCAGGACAGCATCCAACCCACATGCATGTGCATCAATTTCAGTCTTAGATTCTTTGCTAATCTCAAAATATCTCACTACAGGTGTTTCAGTGACAACTTTTTTGAACTCCTAAAAGCTCTTGTCAATCATCCCAGTGCCATGCTGTAATGTCCTCAAGCAGCATTTTGAGTGGACCACTCATTTGTTACCTCTGTAAGGTCTCCTTTTGGGGGAATTCTTTGCCACTGATCCTATGTCCTGCAGAACAAATCTTCAGTCCAATCTAGCACTTCATCTTGTTCAATTTTCTTTTCAAATTTCTGTTTAAGGGCCTTTTCTTTCGCAGACTGCATATGCAGTTTCACATTGTGGTGTTGATCATTTTCATCCCATAGTAGATTAAAATTACTTAATTCCATTCCATCCAGCTCCTCAAAGACATGGGATGTAATGCTTCAGCACACTTCCTATGCTGTAGCAGTCCCAAAAGGAAGTCACTTAAACATGCAGCTAACAAAAGGGAAGGTGGAGGTACAAAATTTTGCACTTTCCGCAGACCTGCCAAAACCCTTAATTTGCATCTGAGAATGTTCTTGCAGTTGTTCTCATGGGCAGGGCCGGTTCCAGGGGTTTTGCCACCCCAAGCAGCGGGAAAAAAAAAAAAAGCTGCGATCGTGATCGGCGGCAGCGCAACCATGCCGCTTTCTTCTTTGGTGGCAATTCGGCAGCAGGTCCTTCCCTCCGAGAGGGACTGAGGGACCCGCCGCCGAAGAGCCGGATGTGCCGCCCCTTCCCCTTGGCCGCCCCAAGCACCTGCTTGCTAAGCTGGTGCCTGGAGCCGGCCCTGCTCATGGGATAGCTCCTGCTTTCAATATCCTATTTCAAATCTTTTGGATCTTTAATCTGTTTGGTTATGTAACAGTGATCATACTGTTAACACAATCAATTCAATGAGGCAGAACAAAGTAGGCAAATATTGCCAAAGTATAAAAAACTCAAACCCTCAGGAATCTGTCAGAGCTAGGTAAGATCAGCTCAGAATTGGGATATACACATTGTTCAGCATTTCATAGCCTGTGTCCATTTGTCATTCCAGATCCAGTAGCAGGCAGCTACACAGCACAATGCCATCTCTGCCATCTTGGTGGGATAGGTCTCATAACTGGACTATAGGTAGTGGGGGAACAACTTGGTCAGGAAGGACAGACAGGATAAAAAGGAAGGAGGTGGTACACTATACATCAAGAACGTATACACTTGTTCTGAGGTCCAGAAGGATGTGAGAGGCAGACCAGTTGAAAGTCTCTGGGTAATGATAAAAGGGGCAAAAAATAGGGATGACAACATGGTAGAGGTCTACTATAGCTCACCAAATCAGGAAGAGGAGGTGGATGAGGCATTTCTAGAACAAATAACAGAAATATCCAAAACACAAGAGCTAATAGTAATGGAGGACTTTAACTAGCTACATATCCATTAAAAAAGTAATATGGCAAAACACAAAATTTCCAGTAAGTTCTTGGAAATGTATTGGGGACAATTTTTTGTTTCAGAAAGTGGAAGAAGTAACCAGAGGGACAGCCATTCTAGACTTGATTCTTACCAAAAAGGAGGAATTAGTAGCCAATCTGAAGGTGGAAGGCAATTTGGGTGAAAGTGATTATGAAATAGATAGATTTCATGATGGTAAAGAAAGGAAGAAGTGAGAGAAGCAGCAGAATAAGGACAACGGAATTCAAAAAAGCAGACTTTAACAAATTGAGAGAGCTGGTAGTTAAGGTCCTGTGGGAAGAAAATCTAAGGGATAAAGGAATTCAGAAGAGCTGGCAGTTTCTCAAGGAGACAACATTAAAGGCAAAACTGCAAATTATCCTGATGCAAAGGAAAAATAGGAAGAATAGCAAAAGGCCAATATGGATGCATCAGCAGCTCTTTAATGACCTGAAAAACAAAAAGGGAATCCTTCAACAACATGGATGAATTAGTAAGGAGGAATACAAAAGAATAGTACAAGCATGCAGAGACAAAATCAGAAAGGCTAAGTAAAATGAGTTACATCTAGCAAGGGACAAAAGGAAATAAGAAGAGGTTCTTTAAATACATTTGGAGCAATACAAAGATAAAGGAAAGTGTAGGCCCTCTATGTAGGTGGGAAGGAGAGCTAATAACTGATAACAGGAAGAAAGCTGAGGGATTTCATGCCTATTTGGTTTCAGTTTTCACTGAAAAGGTTAATGGTGACCAGTTATGCAGCACAATTAATATTAACAACAGGGGGAAGGAATGCAAGCCAAAACAGGAAAAGGACAGGTTAAAGAATATTTAGATAAGTTAGATATAGCATTAACAGGAGTGTCATATATGTAAGATCTGAGCTACACTAGAAAATTAGATTGACCAAGCTATGTTGCTCAGGAGTGTTAAAAATCGACACCCCTGAGGGACATAGTTAAGCTGATTTAAGTCCCCATGTAGACAGTGCTAGGTCAACAGATGAATTCTTCCGTCAACCTAGCTACTGCCTCTCGGGGAGGTGAATTTATTACAATGATGAAAGAACCCCTCCCATCGCTGTAGTGTCTACAGCAGGGGCGGGAAAACTTTTTGGCCCGAGGGTCACATCTGGGTACAGAAATTGTATGGTGGGCCATGAATGCTGATGAAATTGGGGGCTGAGGTGCGGGAGGGGGTAAGGGCTCTGGCTGGGGGTGTGGGCTCTGTGGTGGGGCCAGAAATGAAGAGTTGAGAGTGTGTGTGGGGGCGTTCGGGCTGGGGCAGGGGGTTGGTGTGCAGCGGGGGTCAGGGCTCCAGCTGGGAGTGTGGGCTCTGGAGTGTGGCTGGGGATGAGGGTTTGGGGTGTAGGAGGGTGCTCTGGGCTGGGACCAAGGGGTTCAGAGAGAAGGAAGGGGTTCAGGGCTGAGGCAGGGAGTTGGGGCATAGGAGGAAGTCAGGGTGGTGCTTACCTCAAGGAGCTCCTAGAAGCAGCGGCATGTCCCCACTCTGGCTCCTATGTGGAGGCACAGCCAGGCAGCTCCACACGCTGCCCCATCCACAGGTGCTACCCCTGCAGCTCCCATTACCCGTGGTACCCGGCCAATGGGAGCTGCGGGGGTGGTGCTTGGGGCATGGGCAGCGTGCCGAGCCCCTTGGCTGCCCCTACGTGTAGGAGCCAGAGGGGGAGCATGCTGCTATTCCGGAAGCCGCGCAGAGCCATGGTACACACGGAGCGGGGCAAGGCCCCGACCCCACTCCCCAGGTGGAGCAGGGAAAGCCCAGATTCTGCTCCCCGGCTGGAGCTTGAGGGCCAGATTAAAATGTCTGAGGGCCAGATGCAGCTCCCAGGCCGTACTTTGCCCATCTCTGGTCTACACTGAAGTGCTACTGGCGTTTAAGTGTAGATATAGCCTGAGACACAGGAGGTAATTGTCCTGCTCTACTTGTCATTGCCGCAGTGCTTAATTTGTGCCAGGGCTTGCCAGGGCTGAGCACCGGCACCTCTAAGCTTGGCAGTTCATAGCTCCGGTACCTCTGGGCTGGCTGCATCAGTTATGAATGTAAAAAATTTGCTTGAGCCCCAGCATCTAATTGCTTGTGCCTTAGCACCTCTCTCATTAAAATTAAGCACTGCATTGGTGAGGCCTCAGCTGGAGTACTGTGTCCAGTTCTGGGCGCCACACTTTAGGAAAGATACAGACAAATTGGTGAGAGTCCATAGCAGAGGAACCTAAAAGATAAAAGGTTTAAAAAACCTGACCTATGAGGAAAGGTTAAAAAAAATAGGCATGTTTAGTCTTAAGAAAAAATGACCTGGGGGAGGACCTGATAGTCTTCAAATATGTTAAGGGCTGTTATAAAGAAGACTGTGATCAACTGGGTTCTCAATGGCCATGATATGTGAGACAAGTAATGGGCTTCATCTGCAGCAAGGACGATTTAGATCAAATATTAGGAAAAACTTTCTAACTACAAGGGCAGTTTAAAAGCTCTGGAAGAGGTTTCTAAGAGAGGTCGTGGAACCCCCATCACTGGAGGTTTTTAAAAACAGGTTGGCCAGACACCCGTCAGGGATGGGCTATGTGGTCCTGCCACAGTGCAGGGGTTGGACTTACTGAGCGCTCCAGGGCTCTTCCAGCCCCACATTTCTCTGATTCTGTCTGTCTCTCTCCTAGGGTCAGACAGTTGTCGTCTAGGGGGCTCATTGCTCTATTTTATCACCTGGTCAGCTTCAACTTTTAACATTACCACACAGATAATGCCGCCCTCCACCACAAAGTCTCCAATCCCGTCCTCCACCCAGAGGCTCTCCCTAATTCCCTGCTTCCTTTCCCCTGCTTTCTCCCATACCCGCCCCTGCTCTCCCCGACAAGCCCCACGGCTTTGCCCTCCCCCCGAATCCCCCAAAACATTACCTCCCCTTCCTCCTGTGCCATGGTCGCCCCCTCCCTCTCACGCAGGCAGGCCGGCCGGCGGCGGGTCACATGGTGCGGGGGGAGGGAGCGCGGCCTGTGGGACCCGGATCCGCCGCCATGCCGCTGCCTGTACCCGGCTGTCCTCGGCTCGGCCCGGCCCTGGCCCTGCTCCTGCTGCTCCTGGGTCCGGCGCGGCCCATCTCCTTCCAGCTGCCGGGCAAGGCCCGCAAGTGCCTGCGCGAGGAGATCCACCGCGACACGCTGGTCACCGGCGAGTACGAGATCGGGGTCCCGCCGGGGGCGGCCAGCGGCCCGTCCGCCAATCTCAAGGTGCGGGGGGCGGCCGGGGCCCGGCCGGGCCGAGGGGCAGCCCCGACCCGTCCCCGTGGACAGAGTCCCGGCGGGGGAGCGGTTCCCCGGGTCAGGCCGGGCCTGCTCGGGTCGGGAAGCGGCGCGACTCGGCCCTGAGCTGAGCTCTGCGGGACCCACGGAAGGAAGTGTCCCCCCTCCCCCCGCGACCCCATTGCCACAGCCACGCCGGGAGGGGACCAGGCACAAGGCCCATTGCGGTTCACTCTGTGCACATGGCATGTTTTTTTGGGGGGGAGGGGGATGATGTATCACAGCCATAGGGCCACGTTAAGGTTCACTATGTGCACATGGCATATGGGGGGGGGGATGTGTCACAGCCATAGGGCCACGTTGAGGTTCACTCTGTGCCATGGCACGCTGGGGTGGAGGGGTCACAGCCATAGACCCCCCCCCCAGTGTGCCATGTGCACAGAGTGAACCCCAATGTGGCTCTATGGCTGTGGCCCGTCCCCCAGTGTGCCATGTGCACAGAGTGAACCCTGATGTGGATGTGTCACAGCCATGGAACCATGTCGAGGTTCACTCTGTGCACATGGCACGCTGGGGGAATGGGCCACAGCCATAGGGCCACATTGGGGTTCACTCAGTGCACATGGCATGTTTGGAGAATGTGTCACAGCCATAGGGCCACATTGAGGTTCACTCAGTGCACATGGCCATACTGGGGAAAGGCTGACAGCTTTAGGGGTTCAGTCTGCACATGGCACACTGTGGGGATGTGTCACAGCCATAAAGCCACGTTCAGGTTCACTCTGTAAACATGGCACGCTGGGGGATGGGCCACAGCCGTAGAGCCACACTGGGGTTCACTCTGTGCACGTGGCACACTGGGGGATGGGTGACAGCCGTAGGGACATATCGAAGGTTCACTCTGTGGAAATGGCACACTGGGAGGATTGGTCACACCCACAGGGCCACGTGCAGCTTGATCTCTGTGCACTGGGGGGAGAGTGACAGCAACAGTGATGCTGGGGTTCACTCTTCACATTGCACAGTGGGAATACAGATGGGAAGAGGGTTACAGTAACAGGGCCACACCAGGGCTCGCTCTCTGCCATGTGGCACAGTGTGGCGGTATTGAGGAGAAGGTCATGGAGATAGCATTATGTGGAGACTACTCTATTCCTTTCTTGCTGTTGCCAGGGGTGTTAGTGGCAGGTTTACTGAGGGGAGGGTGGCAGTTTGGCGCACTGGTGCTTGGAGGGCATTCCATGTGAGGAAGAAAGCACAGAGTGGGAGCACAAGGAGGACGTGAGAGGACGTGAAAGGGTTGTTGGAGCTGAGATTAAGGCCAAGCAGTGTGTGCACGAATAATACACATACACCATCCACGTGACAAACTGCCATTCTAATGCAGCTTTGACAGTCTTGCTTGCATCCCACCCAATAACATGTCCTCTCTGGTGGCCCCTTCTAACTTCACTGTCACCTCCCACCCACCTGAGCAGTGGTGTCACCTTGTGAATCAGTTTGTCAGAGACCCGCTTCTTCTTAAATGTCGAATTTTTCCCCCTAATTGTCCCTGCCTGAGGTCCAGAAGGCTTGAGAATTTGTGATAAACTTAAGTACAATATCTTATGAATCCTCAGGGCCAGAAAAAGAAGCATTATCCCAGTGGAAAGGGAAGATTCCCAGCTTCACAGTGAGGGACACAACATCTGCCTTGAATCCAGGAAGGTCCCAGGATATCAGCCCTTATACTACTTTTATGTCTAGAAAGGCTTTTACATCATTTTTAATTTTATTAAATGTTAGGCTATGTCTAGACTTAAACTACTGGAACTGCACCGCTGTAGTACTTCCGTGTAGATGCTCACTACAGTGATGGGGGGGTTCTCAAGTCGCTTTAATTAATTCACCTCCCTGAGAGGCGGTAGCGAGGTCCACAGTTCAGCTTAACTACGTCCCTCAGGGTTTTTCATACTCATGAGTGACTAGCTGGTTCAACCTCACTTTTTAGGGCTGATCTACACGTGGGAGGCGGGGGGGGGATCGCTGTAAGATATGCAACTTATCTTATCGACTTATCTTATTTCGACTTACCTCGGGTCCTCACAGCGCGGGATCGACGGCCGCGGCTCCCCCGTCGACTCCGCTACCGCCGCTCGCCCTGGTGGAGTTCTGGAATCGACGGGAGCGCGTTCGGGGATCGATATATCGCGTCTAGACAGGACGCGATATATCGATCCCTGATAGATCGATTACTACTCGCCGATTCGGCGGGTAGTCTGGACATACCCTTAGTGTAGGTCTGGCCTAAGCTCGCTCTCCCTCTCTGCCTCAGCTCTGTACATTCATTGCATTCTGGATTCATTGTAAGAAGGATGGATACACAGTGGCTTAAGAACTCAAATATTTCTGCAGTTGTTTTTCTGATAACACATGGCATATATAAATCTCATGGTGGTGTGGTGGATTATAGAGCCCCTACGAGCAGAGTTTGTGCTTTGCAGCCTTTTCAGAACTGTGCTCTCTCCTCTGTTCTCACTCAGTGATCCAGTGTCTCCTGGTTCTTTGCTTGCCCATCCTTTGTTCATCTGATTCCATTTCCTCTTCTGAGACTTATGTCTGCCACAGAAAGCCAGGTCCCTGATGCAGCATTACTCTTGTGCCAGGGTTGCATTCTGGCTTTGCTGCCTTATGGGGCATTGAGGTTAGTATCACTGGCAGAGGGAAATGTGATTTATTTTATTAGAATGTTAAACAAGCTTGGGTTGAAAATCGTCCCCACCTCCTTGCAGCACTTCAGGCTTGGTAATAGTCTGTAACATTTCTTGTTCCCTTCCCTTGTCATGCAGGACTGCTGTGGCCAACACTTGTGTTCTAAAGATGCTAGGTTTGGGCTCCTTTTCTATTGGGTGTGTTTGTGCAGTGGGGGCAGGGGGATTTGCTTAGGACAGGATGTCTCCAGGTGGCACCTTCCCCACAGCCTGGAAGGTCAGGTTGTCAGAGCAGCCTCCCAGCACTGGGTCACCAGGGTGTAGGAAGTTGGTAGTTACTGTGTGTTGTATTGAAGATGGTTCCTATCACCGAGCTGGGCCCTGTGTGTTTGTGAAATCCCAACACTAACAGTGGTACCCTCTGTTCCTGAGGAATCTGCACAATGCGCCAGCTGGCTGCAGAGTGGATGCTCTTGGGTGGATGACGTCCCGCTTGGGCCTGGTCACATGTGGCTGTCTCATTGTTTAAGCCGGCAGTGTGGGGAATTGATGGGCTGTTTGTCAAGACAGAGAACAATGCTTTGTCTGTAAGGGATGGCATTACTGTAAATAACGTTTGAACATTAAGAAGAATCCTTTTCGGGTTAGCCTGTCCTTCCACAAGAGTGTTGGCTGGGCTATAAGCTGCTTCCCCCCCACACCCAGTTAGATGGGTAATGTGTCTGGCTGAGTCTGAATAACGGGTATCCAGTACCGATGGAAGCAGACAGCAGAGCTGCCACTGTCTAAAATGCTACTGCTGGGCACTCTTCTTCTTCTTAGCGTATGCGCAACGTGCCTCAGGTGGCACATGATCAGGATTCATCACCGAATTTGGTCCGCTGGTCAGATCATTAGCTTCCCCTGCCCTGGCTGGCTACTGATGTGGGGAGTGCGATTTGAACGCTTATCCACCCCACCCCACCCCAGCATTCTGCTCCTAGTGTTAGAGACAAGGCAAAAAGAGGTCAGGCCTGTGTACCACACAACCTCTTCTGTGGAAAGATAGCACTCAGAGCTTTCCCCAGAGTACAGCAGAGAGAATCCCAGTCAACTTTAAAAGGCAGTACTCCAAATACAAGGGACCCTTTAAAGTAGGTCCTTTTCTTTGTTTCCTTCACCGGACTCCAATGTGCAGAGTCAATACAGTATCATCCTGAATAATTTGAATTTGGTTAATCATAGTTGTTCTGTGAATGGTATGCAGGGTAGGCTAAGCAAGAAGCTGACCGAGTGTACCTTGTAGTCTCTCTGCTGCCTGGATTAAGATGAAGCTCTGAATAGGAACTGCAGTACCAAAGCAGTGATTCACCTAGTCCAGCCTCCTGTCTCTGAAACTGACAAGTACCACATAGTTCCAAGGAAGGTGCAAAAAACCCCATAATAGACAATTATGAAATAACCTGCCCACAGAGGAAGTTTCTTCCTAACCTCCTGCCAGTTATGGCTTATACTCTTTAGCATGAGAGTTTATGTCCCTTATTATTTTTAACTTGTCTAATGAACCTGGTTGTTCTCATTATCCATATAAATATCTGAACCTCTTGTGAATCCTACTAAGATCTTGGCCTCAATGATATTCTCTGGCAGGGAGTTAATTAGGTATTGTGTTAATAGAAAAAGTATTTCCTTTCAGTTGTAAATATGTTGCCTTTCCATTTCATTGACTGTTTTGTGTGTCTTTGTTGTGTTTTCTTATCTCCTCTATAAGTAGTCCCGAAAGTCTCAATGTCTTCATTTGGAATACTTTCTAGACCTCTCATCACCTCAGCACCCCTTTATTTCTGCTATGTCTTTTGAGATGGGGGAATCATCATATCTGAATAGCATTCCACATAAGGGCATACCATTGATTTATACAGTGGTGTTAAAACCTTCACTATATCAGTTGGCATATTTGTTTGCTGCCTTTTTTTTTTTTTTTTAGCACTGCTGCACACTGAGAAGAGGTTTTAGTTAAGCTGTACACGGTGATGTCTTTCCTGAGTGGCACCTGCCATTGTGCTGTCAATTAATGTAACTTTGTTAGAACCATCTCTAGATTTGACTAATCTAAATAATTTTGTGATAGTGCACAAATTAGCAGTTACTCCTTCTACGTATATAGTCCGTCTGATCTGCAGTCCTGCCTCTGAGCTGTGCTGTGAAGTGCCACTTCTACAGACCTTGGCACCCAAACATTGCCCAGCTCAGGGCATATTGGCATTTGGATCTAATGGCGCACATATGCCCCTTCTGCAGTTCTGCTGCTGGAGAGTCCGTTCTGTTTGTCCCTTGTTACCTCTCGCTGTAGAAGCCAGAGAATCTCTATGCTTTGCTAAGCGTTGCTTTGGGAATTTACAATCCTAGCATGTAAGGAGAAACTAAGGAGGCAATGAACAAGGATTCAGGGAATTAGACAACTTAAATTAGTCTGTGTCCAGGATGTTTTAACTAAAAAACCAGTGAAATCAGATCTTAGAAGCCTGCTGTTTTTGCCAGCCTGGGGGAGGAGAGGAATTGAAATGGGGCAGATGGACACAAAATGTAGCAAACCCTAAAGAGGGCCCAGGAAGAGCCTGTTAAATTTGTCCATGTGTCATTGAGGGACTGTGCTCCTGCCTGCGACTGTGCTTGAGCCACTCTCGCTGTCTGTCTCTCCTACAGATAACTGACTCAGCTGGACACATCCTCTACTCCAAGGAGGATGCCACTAAGGGCAAGTTCGCCTTCACCACTGAAGACTATGATATGTTCGAGGCTTGCTTCGAGAGCAAGCTCCCTGTGGGTGAGTGCAGAAAGCTGCTCCCAGCCCTCCCTCTTCCTTGCTCTCGGTGGAGTATGTTGGGTGAGGGGTCGGGGTGAAGCAATTTCAATGTCCAGTTTGCAAAGCACTTTGGGATTCTTCATGCTGAGAGGAATGGGCTCCTCTGGGATGAGGAGTTTCATGTTACTGGTGCAGAACAGCTGTCGCTTGCATTAGGGTTGGGGGTGAAACGATCCTTGTGGCTCATCTGCAGAGCACTATGGGATGCTTCAGGCCCAGGCACAAGAGGAATGGGGTCACCGACAGGGAATTGTGATGGTGACTGTAGGAGCAGGTGGGCATCCCAGAAGTGCTGTTCCCATGCTGCCTCTCCTCACATCCCAATTCTGGCAGCACAGAGTAGGCTGATACCCTTTTGTCCTCCCCATTTGCCCACTTCCTCCTCCTCCTCTTTGGTGGTAGAGTGTGGTCCCTTTCTTGGGTGCACCCTGTGGCTGGGAGCCCCTTCCCAGAGTGGTTGCAGCACCCTGCGATAGTTGCCTGTGGTTGCACAGGGTGTCCCTTCCTTTGAGTGATCCTTTGACAGAGGGAAGAGGAAGTGAGCCGGACGTCAGTCCTGTCCTTGTGCTGTAGGGACAGTTGCCTAACGAGCACTGGGGCTGCCATTTCCTGTGAGTGTGACGCATTTGCCACTCTCTCTGCTGAGTAGCTGGGATCAAGTTCAGAATAAACACCCTAAAAACCGCAGGCATGTGGGTTCCAACCCCAATGTGGGGAAGGCTGATCTGATCCCTGGTGTAGCCTTACTTCGACTTGGGCTGCTCACCTCTTCTCACAGTCTCTGCAATGGTTCCCCTTTTGTGATCCCATTCCTCTTATGCCTTATCCTACAGGATCCCAGAGAGCTTTGCGGACTGGCCATAGAGATTGCTTCACTCCCACCCCCGACCTAAATGCAGGCACTTTGGCGTAGGATGGAGGAGCTGTTCTGCGCCAGGTTTAGGACTAGCTGAAATGGCAGATGCTAACCTAGCTTGGGGTTTGGTCAGGCTGTAGGTTGTAAAACTCTGATTCTTGTGCAATGCTGAAGATCCTGTGCCATGTTGCATTAGAATCAGGGTGTTACAACCAAAATCCTGACCAAATTAAGGCTTTGATTTTACTTCTCATTCAGGAGATGGCTCCTCCAGGAGCACAGTCCCCCATCGCTTTGGAGGCTTCAGTCTCTTGGAGTGGAAGGTCCTGGCTCCTCTGGAATGTCAGCTCTGGGGGAATTAATTGAATTTTGCTGAGCTAATTGAGTTGGATAATTCTCCCTGCAGCCCTGTTAAGGGGTTTCCTACTGGACCCCTTTGGCATCTGTGAGCAGAGCAGTCGCAGCTGGGGTTGCAGCCAGGGAGGAGCACATCACTAGCAGAGCTGTGGCTTTCCTGGGAGGGCAAGCTGGGCAGCAGGAACTGTTGGTGGAGAAAACGCAGAGCCGTTGGGCCAGGTGGGTTCTGAACAACTAGGATTTCTCAACCCCCAGCCACAGAAATGGGGAAGAGGAAGTGAAAGGTGGCAGATCAGCTCCTTGTGCAGGGCCCCAGGATCTGGGACAGGGCAGCTTGCCAGACATGGGGATCTCTCCTAGCAACTCCTCTGAGTGTGGGTGGTGTACATCAGGCTGTTTCCCTCCTCCTTTATCCATTTGCCCTGCTCTGACAATTGCTGCGTTACAAGGCTCAGGTCAGAATTGCTATTAAGGCCAGTGTGGAGTACTAGCCACATTCCCCCCAGCAATAGAATAGCAGGAGCTGGATTCTCTGGGGGACTGGAGAATCACTTCACCACCAAAGCCTGGGGCAGCACCTTCCCTCTCTGCCTGGCACCCCTCATTAGGAGCACAGAGACCCTGTCTGTCTGGAGCAGCCTGTTCTCTTCCTGCCTTCCTTTTGGGGAGAACAGACCTTTAACAGCTTCGTCTGAGAGACACAGGTTAACTTGCATATTTCCCCTTTGAGCTGGCACATTAGTAGTTGTGTGGACCCTGGTGAAGTTGCTGCTAGCCCAGCTACTCTCTTCCCACTTCAGGGTAACTCCACCAGCTCTTCTGAAGTAGCCTGTGAAAGGCCCCATCTTCACAAAGGGCTTTGCAGGATCTGGGCAGAGTGAATCAGGACTCCCAGTCTCTAAAACCCCAGGATCACAGATTTTGCTTCACGTCTTCACACCACCAATTCCTCAGCTACAAGAGGGAGCAGGGAGTTTATTGAAGGTCCTTGGGACCCAATGGAAACCACCCTGGGACCCAATGGAAACCACCCTGGGCCCCAGGCCCAGCAGCCTCCCAGGGGATCACCATCTGGAAGCCCCTGAAAATGTTAACCCCTCACAGTGCCTGCTCCCCACCCCTATTGCACTCACCAGCTCTCTCACTCTTCCTGCTATTTGGTGGCTCTCCCCTCATCTCATGCTTCAAGGTTTGTTGTCCTGTCCATCAGGCTTCTCGCTCTCCTCACCTCAGCCTGAGGGTCCCAAAACCCCACCCAAACTTCTGTAATTTACATAATATGCAAAAAATCCCCCACTGATTTGCGTGCGTTGAAGGCCCTTGTGTGACTGTTGGCTGTAGCTCCTCACCCTCCCTCTCAGCCTCCAAATCTGTCTGCATGACATAAACAAAACGTATGGCAAATTGCTGAAATGTGAAACCACCAGGGTTTGCTGCGTATCATGGTGTCACTGGCAGATTATAATGGTTTTTAATTCTGTTTTAAGGATCTTTCCTCTCTGTATGAATTATATTGACCAGTTTTTTAAACAAGAACTAGACAAAAAAAATTCCATCCTGTGCAATCATAAAGACCTTCCCCTCCCCCCGCCCTCCCAAATTTGAACCCCGGGCTTTCAGATCCACAGGAGAGACATCTCTCGCTTGAGCTAAAGGAATACATTATACTCAGTGTGGAACAGCCGCTAGAAGAGGGTGCAAGACACACATGTTGCCAGTGGGTTATACAACTTTTTTGTAGACAGCGGTAGAATGTTGGAGAGTAGGAATCGTGGATTTTGTTCTCAGCTCTGGGAGGGAAGTGTTATCTAATGGTTAGAGCAGTGGTTGGTTAGAGGCAGGATAGCCAAACACCTAGCTTTGACACATTCCTTCTGAAAGCCTGTGTGGCTGAGGAGAATAAAGCTTGTGCCCTCTGTTATATTAGAGATCTGGGATATTTCCCCAGCTCTGCCTGAAGTGACCTTGTGTAACTCTGCATTTAACTTATTTGTAAAATGGGGGAATGATATGTGAGTATCTCCTAAGGAATCCTTGACTGTGCTTCCTGATAAGGACTCTGAAGTGCATAATCAGTAGAGGTGAGATTAGAACTGGTGGTGTCCAGGCACCTTCCTTTAGGCTACAGGGTATTTGGAACTCTCATCTGCGAACACTTCCTAGTTGGGTGATGTGGTGGAACAGGCAGTGTGCTGTAGCTGAAATATGAGATGCCCTGGCAAATCCTGTATACTTGTGATCTTTTTCCCCTGCCCTCTCCCATATGTGGTAGTTGGCTGTAGCCCTGTATGCCTGTTGGCTTTAGGCTCCCCTGTTCTCCCCCAGCTTGTTTTTTGGCTGTCACCCTTCATATTTGCAATGACCTGCACCCTGGGGTGGCTGTTGTCTCTAGCGCTTGCTCTACTCATGTGTGTCTCTATCCTGTCTGCCGAGTGGAGGTGGCTGTGTCTCCTGCCTTGGGAAGCCCTATTCAAAGTCTGGGCACACTTTAACAGTCTTGGTGCCTGGCAGCGGCTTGTGTCCTGTGCGCTTAGTGCTCTTAGCTACAGCTTGTTCTCATTATCTCCGGGAGCCCTTCCATCAGCCAGGGTTCATTCAGAAGGTCCTGTGATTTTAAGCAGGACTGTGCTGCCTCTGCATCTGGCTGGAGACTCGCTGGGGGAGGAGTGTTGTGAATCTCTCTCCAATGGGGGGGTTGATGAGTTCCTGGCAGCCTGACAGCTGCACACAATGAATCCTTTCAATGCACTTCCAGGAACGGGGCGGATGCCGGACCAGCTCGTGATCCTGGACATGAAGCATGGAGTGGAAGCAAAGAACTATGAGGAGGTATGTCCCTTGCCTGCTGCCGGTACCTCAGAGCTCCTTCCTAGCAATCACGTGATGCTGTGTTTGGATCTGGGGCTTGCAATGGGAAACTGCTTTCCCAGCCGTGATGACAGCCTATCTGCAGCTGGGAGCTTCCATTAGCGTCTCATGTGGTAGAGATGTAAAAAAAACCTGCTGCTCTAATTCTGGGTGGGCTGAGGCCCAAGAGGTAAGTTTCTCAGCCAGCCAGCATGACTTGGTTTTGGGGTTTAGGTATTGGAGTCAATAACAGGCTGACACCAGTAGTTTCTGCTGCCCCAACAGCAGGGGGAATGCAAGGAAAAGGCAAAGCCTCCTAAATGTGAAGCTTTATAATTTCCATTCACAGCCACGAGAGGTGCGGATCTGCAGCCTCCCCGGAGGGGGCAGCTGCCTTTCCAGGGACAATTGCAGTGTTGGCTTGACGTGCTGAGGCATGCTGAGCAGTATGCAGGGAGGAGGATCTCTTTGTCCTTTCTGCAGGTGGGGCACTATTGTTGGGCCTGGACATGGGATACCAATTACCTGGGACAGTCACTAGCTGGTTTGGGGAGGGAGAGGGAAGTGAAGTTTGGTAGCTCTCTTGCAAACTGTTAACCAGGTTTTTTCTAAGCTTGTATTTTCTGGCTTTTGACCCCTGCAGGGCTGGTGCCTGGGAAGATCAGTCGTAAGCTGGGGAAAGCTCTTGTACGTGTTCAGTGGGAATAATAACTGAAAGCCACATGAAAGGATGTACCCGGGAAGCAGGAATGGTTCAGGGAGTAGAGTGGGCAGCAAATTAGCAGGAGTTTGCAGTGTTAGATGGCAGCAAAAAGGGTCAGTGCAGTTCTGAAGTAGGTAGGTAAAGACCTCACATCCTGGAGCAGGGAGGGGACAGGCCCTCTCTGTGCTCTGGGCTGACTGCACTTGGGACACTACAGCCAGTTCTGGGCATCTAGCATCCGGATATTAACAAATTATACTGAGCTCAGAGAAGAGAAAATAGGGATTGGTGGTAAATGTGTCTAGGTGGGGACTATAACAGGACTATAATTGTGTGTGTGTGTGTTTGAAAGATTGAGTATTATTCCCATTTTACAGATGAAGAGTGGAGGCACAGAGAGGGGAAGGGACTTTCCAAAGGTCATTTAGGAAGCCTGTAGCTGAGCCAAGAAAAGAATCTTGATCTCCCAAGTCTCAGCCTAGTACCTCAAATAAAGACCATCCTTTTCCCTGCTAGGAAGTGAGTTAGGCCGTGAACCTGATGTGCAGAGCTGGGCCGAGGCAGCACCCACAGAGAAAGCTGAAGGAGTTGCTCTCCAAGAAGCTTTTTGTCAAGTTACCCTGCAGGCTCCCCTTCTTCCACAAGCAGAAGTCACTGCCCCTCCTTTCTGTCCACGGTGGACAGTGCTGACTCGCTCTATCTACCTACAGGTCAGGTTCTGCTTCCAGAGATTAGGCATCGAGAAATAGACTCAGGCTAAGAGTCTGTCTCAGTGCTTCCACCCCATGGTGTCTGCTAGGCAGAGTGTGGGTGGGCCAGCATTCCTAATCACTCCCACTGGCAAAGCTTAGCATTAAGGCAAGAGGGAACCGTGCATCTGTCCTGTGTTTACTCAGTATACAGAATCCTCCTGCCACTCTGTGTCCCTCACTTGTTTTAGGAGAGTAACCAAAGGAAAAGAGACAAGGAGAGGTGCTAGCAGCTGGAGTGGGCAGGGGAGAAGGCTCTTGCTCAGTCCACACAGGCTGAAATAGAACTTGAGGCAGCATTCCCATAATATTAGTAGGAGCGTTGTAAGCAAGACATGAGAAAAAATTATTCCACTTGACTAGCATTGCTATGGCCTCAGCTGGAGTATTGTGTGCAGTTACGGGCACCACACTTCAGGAAAGATGTGGACGAATTGGAGAAGTCCAGAGAAGAGCAACAAAAATGATTAAAGGTCTAAAAAACATGACCTAAGAGGAAAGATTAAAAAATAAATGTTTTTGTTTAGTCTGGAGAAGAGAAGACTGAGGGGGACATAACAGTCTTCAAGTACATCAAAGATTGTTCTAAAGAGGAGGGTGATAAATTGTTCTCCTTATCCACTGAGAACGGGACAAGAAATAACGCGCTTAAATTGCAGCAAGGGAGATTTAGATTAGACATTAGGAAAACTCTCTAACTGTAAGAGTAGCTAAACATTGAAACAAGTTACTTAGCGATGCTGTGGAATCCCCATCATTGGTGGCCTTTAAGAACAGGTTAGACAAATACCTGTCACGGATGGTCTAGGTAGCACTTAGTCCTACCATGAGTGCAGGGGACTGGACTAGAAGACCTATTGAGGTCCCTTCCAGTCCTACGATTCTAATAGGTGAAAACAGGACCTCCAGACATGGGAAACTCCCTGATTCAGCAGCTCCTGTGCCCTATTGACTTTCCTTGGCCCAGAGAAAGGGCCAGTGAAGAAGCTGGGTGTCCAGTACCTACACACATTTCTGGGGCCCCTTCTGCAGAAGAGGTCTTTCCTTTCTTGGCACTGCACATTACCTCCAAGTATTCACAACATAAGGAGATGAAGGGCTCGGTCATAGCTGGCAGAGGAAGGATTGCCCCCTAGTGTACAGTCTGTGAATTACATAGAGCTGGATTCAAAGGACTGTGCTACTGCCCCTCATGTTGAAATATGCTGCCAGTCGAGACCTTCTGCAGAACTTCAGCTTTCAGTATCCCTCTAAGAGTGAATCAAATTAAATTCTTACCCCAAAGACAAGTGGCTGATTAAGTCTTAGGGGGAGAGAGAAGGATGGATGGGCAGGGGTGGGGGTGGGGCTGAGGTCATGCAGACAGATGCAAGTTCCTGTTATAGATGGGTAGCACCAATGTAAAAAGTGATTGGCATTGGTGTGGCTTACCCCAATTTCAAACCAGGTAAGCTGCACCTGTACAAGTCATTTTCACAGCACAACTAGGTAGGAGTTTGCACCAGTGTAACTGCGCCATTGCAAAAATCCCACGGTAGACAAGCCCTCAGAACATCCATGCTCGTTAATAATGGAATAGTGGCATGATGGCGGACAGGTGGGTGCCCTGGAAGCGCTGGGTATATTTGCAGCGGATTAACAGATCTCCCTTTAGTGCAGCTAAAGGAGACCTGTTAACCCCCTTCAGTCCTGCAAGTATGCAAAGGGGTGTTCAGGGCTTGGCCCAGTGAGAAGCTTAGGCTTTTCCCAGCAGAGCCTTCCCATTCGCCATCCTTCAGTTCTGGATGTGGAGAGCAACATCTTAGAGGAAGTCATCTTGAGTCTCTCTCACTTCTAGACTTGTTTCATCAGGTGCCTGACCAGAGATTTAGTCACTGAAGGTATGTTTACACTGCATTAAAAAACCTGTGGCACTCAGTCTCAGAGCCTGGGTCAGTTGTCTCAGGGCTCCAGCTGCGGGGTTAAAACCTGCCGTGGAGAGGTTCATGCTTGGACTGGAGCCGGGGCTCTGAGACTCACCTTCCTTGTGGGGTTTTAGAGCTCGGGCTCTAGCCTGAGCTTGAAACTCTCCATTGCAATTTTTAGCCCCGCAGCCCGTGCCAGAGTCAATTAACCAGAGTTCTTGGCGCCTGGTGCCGCAGATTTTTTATTGCAGTGTAAACGTGCCCAAAGCTACTAGGAAAGGTTGTGTGCTGTGGGCCCCTGTATGGGAAGGGGATTAATTGAGGAGGTGGCGGCATGGTATGCGTAAAGCCCTTTACTGAAATGATCAATTAGCTAATGTTGGTCTGATTCTAAATATCTTTTTAAATCCATTCTCTCTTGCTGCTACTTTTTTTTTGAAGTCACTGTTTATAGAATTCCCAGGTTTGAGCTCCCCCTGTTGGCTGCACAAAAAACAGCTTGAGCAGAATACTCTGTGCTGTCTGTTTTACTCCCGGGGGAATTCTGCACCTCTGCGCAAGCACAGAATTATTGTTCCCTGCAGATTTTACTTTCTTCCTGCAGAGTAGTTAATTCATGCACCCATCACAGGCAGCAGTCCTACATGGGTGCATCTGGTTTGGGCGTCGGGAGCAGCTGGGGGAGACACAAAACACTGCTTCAGGGGGCTGGGTGTGAGTGCAAGACTCTGTCCCTCTTGCTCGGTATCGTGGTGTGCCCAGAGTGAGGGAGTGGCAGGGCTGAGGATGCCCCAGCCAGTGGGTCCTACCATGTATTGGAGTCCAGTTGGGCTGGAGGAGAGAGAAAGGACTTCCCTTTCCCTTGCATGGGCCTTTGTGGAGCCAGGGTTGGGTCAGACCCACCTCCAGGGCATCCAGAACCCCCCCCACACACACACCCCTACCTTCCCATCAAGCCCCACCCTTCTGCATCCAGACACCCAGACCATCCCCTGCTGAGCCCCTCGCACTTGAACCCCCCACCTGCTTGCACCACCCTGCTGATGGACCTCCCTGCTGAGCTCCCTGCACCTAACCCCACCCTTCCCCCTGCCAAGCCCCATGCTCCCCACTCCCAGACATTCTTTGCTGAGCCCCAACCACCTTCACGCCTCCCCCCCCCCGAGTCCTATTCTCCCTGCACCTGGAACCCCCCACTGAGTCCCTGTGTATCCAGATTGCACCTGGAAACCCCGCCCCCATTGAGCTGCCCACACTCAGATTGCTCCCCACAGAACACTCTGACCCCACACCTGGTTCCCCCACACTAACCCTTCCACACTTGGCTCCTGGCAGGCTGAGCCTGCTTGCCCCACACCTGGTTTGTGGGGGCAGATCTGGGTGTGTGTGAGGGAGTGTCCCTCTCGCTTGCTAATGCATGCACCTGGCCCAGAGGGACAGGGCCCTGGGGTGGGGCATCCCTGGCCCTTGTGTTATGTTAGGGTGCAGCCCCACTGCCAAGTCCATGTCCCAAAGGGGGCACGGGTGGCAGGGTGATCCCCTACCTCTGCAGCCAGTGGGGTGCGCTCCCCACTGCCATGCTGTAGCCTCCACTCCCATTGCACTTCTAATCTATTGTCTTCATTTCTAGACCAGTGATTGTACAATGACATGCTGAGTACTATGCTAGATATTAGCTATGCCATTCACTAACGCCCCACTCTGGCAAAGCATTTGTTTCAATGGGGATACTCATGCTGTGCAGTGTTCATCACACAGTGACTCAATTACTTGCAGAAACAAATAGTATTCATGAGGGAATTCTGTGCCAAAAAATCAAGAATTCTGCAAAATTCTGCATATTTTATTTTGTCAAAATAACACAATATAATCACGCCATTTTCAATTATTTTGGTAATGTATTTCAAAATACCTGTCAGCAAGTATGTCTGTAACAATACAGACAACAAAAAAGATTCACAGACATTTTTTTGACAAATCGATTCCTTACTAGATATATTAGCACATCTATATGGCTCCACAGAGCAGATGGCAATACTAATAATGGTGAATTCGGGGCAGGAACCTGTGTTACTGCTACACTAGGGTGGAGAATTTAAATGTAGCAATGGAAAGAAATGTAATCTGCTTTCAAGCCAGAGCTGATTGATTTAAATCACTGATTTTAATCATTATTTAAATTAGCAGGAAACCTTGATTTAAATCATCAATTTTAATCATGTTTTGCATTTTTACTTTTTAGTGATTTTCCTAAAGAAAGGTTGATTCTCATTGATTGATAACCATAGAATATGTTGGTTTTTCAATAAATATAGACTTTACACTAAATTTGGTACTTCTTTTTGCTAATCAGGAAGGATACATTGTATTTATACATGGGTTTAAGCAATTATTATATAGCTGAACTTATATTTATTTGGATTCTTGATTTTTACATTTTTATTATGTTAGAAAATGAATGATGCATTTCTGATTTCCTAGATGATGATTAATTTTTTATTTCTAATTTCTGTCCAGCTTTATTTGGATAAAAATTCAAATTCAGTTAAAAATGCACAGACAGTATTTTTTTTTATTTAACTAAAAATATTTTAAATGTGCTGAATACATAAGAAAAAAGTTTATCAAGATATGTGTTGCATTTAAATCTACCGTATATACTCGATCATAAGCCGGTTTGTTTATAAGCCAAGCTCCCCCCAAGATGGATAAGTAAAAATGGAAAATGTTTATGACCCGTTCATAAGCCGAGACACTATAATTCAGGGGTCAGCAAACTTTGGCTCTCGGGCCATCAGGATAAGCTGCTGGCAGGCCGAGGTGGTTTGTTTACCTCGAGTGTCCGCGGGCACGAAGGTAAACCTAAGTAAACAAAAAAGAACAGGAGTACTTGTGGCACCTTAGAGACTAACAGATCTCTAAGGTGCCACAAGTACTCCTGTTCTTTTTGCGGATACAGACTAACACGGCTGCTACTCTGAAACCTAAGTAAACAAAGTGTCCCGGTGCGCCAGCTGCTTACCTTGACGGGCCGGGACAGCAACTGGTGGGGAAATTTTTATGGGGGGAGAAGCTGGGGGTCAGGGGAGTAACCCCTGTGACCACCCCCCACATGACCCCATCCCTAGTCCAGGACCCCCACACTCTCCCCATCCATCCCTTCCTACCTTATCTGGGGAGGGCCAGGGGAGGATGTCTCTGACCTGGCTGGAGCTGCTCCGGCAGGCTGGGCAGCACAGCAGCAGCCTGCTATGGCGGGCTGGGCCAGGCGGCGCAGCCACAGCATGTTCCAGCGGGCTGGGCTGGGCCGGGCCGGGTGGCGCGGCCACAGCATGTTCCAGCGGGCTGGGCCGGGCCGGGACAGCATGTTCCAGCGGGCTGGGCCGGGCGGTGCGGCCACAGCCTACTCTGGGGGACGGGACCGAGCAGCATAGCTGCAGCCTGCCAGCCCCGAGCTGCAGCTGCTTTGGAGGCTGGGGGGAGGAGCAGCATGGCCAGAAGCAGAGAGACTCTGGCCCCACCTCTTCCCTTCTGGCTCTGCTGGCTGTGCTGCCTCTCCTTGTTCCCTCTGTTGGGGGGAGGGGCTGTGTCCCACCTCTCCCTCTCTGTACCCGTTCATAAGCCGACCCCCTTCTATGGTGCTTCCCTTTTTTACTAAAAAAATTCAGCTTATGAACGAGTATATATGGTAACTAATTTATTAAACAAAGGCAGATTAAATTCAACAAAATGGCAGATTAAATTCAATATTGATAAATGCAAAGTAATGCACATTGGAAAACATAATCCTAACTATACATATACAATGATGGGGTCTAAATTAGCTGTTACCACTCAAGAAAGAGATTTTGGAGTCATTGTGGATAGTTCAGAATATTGGGAATCATCAAGAAAGGGATATATAATAAGACAGAAAATATCATATTGCCTCTATATGATATATGATCTATTGCCTTTTACGCCCACACCTTGAACACTGCATGCAGATGTGGTTGCCCCATCTCAAAAAAGCTATATTGGAATTGGAAAAGGTTCAGAAAAGAGCAACAAAAATGATTAGGGGTATGGAACGGCTTCCGTATGAGGGGAGATTAACAAGATTGGGACTTTTCAGCTTGGAAAAGAGGCGACTAAGGGGGGATATGATAGAGGTCTATAAAATCATGAGTGGTAAAGAGAAATTAAATAAGGAGGTGTTATTTACTCCTTCTCATAATACAAGAACAAGGGGCCACCAAATGAAATTAATATGTAGCAGGTTTAAAACAAACACAAGAAAGTATTTTTTCATGCAACACACTGTCAACCTCTGGAACTCCTTGCCCAGAGGGTGTTGTGAAGGCCAATACTACAATGGGGTTCAAAAGGGAGCTAGATAGATTCATGGAAGATAGGTACATCAATGGCTATTAGCCTAGATGGGCAGGAATGGTGTCCCGAGCCTCTGTTTGCCTGAAGCTGGGATTGGGTGACAGGGCGTGTATCACTTGATGATAACCTGTCTGTTCATTCCTTTTTGGGCACCTGCCATTGGCCACTGTCAGAGGACAGGATACTGACTTGATGGACCTTTGGTCTGACCCAGTATGGCCGTTCTTATGTAAGGAAATATCTGTAGTTAATAAATTGAGGTGATTTTTTCTGGTCACCGTGTCCTTCAGGATTTTAAACTAGTAGATCTCAAATCTCATGCCTATAGATGAAAGAGGGGAAACTAGTTTTTCTGCTCTTTTGACTCCTATTGGTTTCTTAACTTTTAATGAGTTAGTCATTCACCTGAACTAGGTGAATGAACTGAAATGAAGAAAATATTCTCTCTGCACCTGCAGAAGAGGCTACTGCTATCAAAAGCTGACTCCAGGTGCTTAGCCAGTAACTTCAATAAGTTCAGTGGTTTTATTTTATTTTTTTTAAGTTGGCACCAGACATATTACTTAATATTATTTATTTAATTTAAATTATTTTAATAGATTATAATAACTTCAGGTCTTAATATAGGTTATCATAATTTATAATTTAATTTTAAATAGGTGTGTTTTACTTTTTTTTTAAATCAGATTTAAATTTTAAAAATCTGAATTTTTTTATTTAAAAAACATAAACAATTTTTTATCCACCCCTGTTCCCAGCAGCCCCTGTCTACATCATGTTCACATATTGTGTGTGCTCATGTTTATGCTTAGATTTAAATGCAATGTAGTCAAGTTGTGGTGCTTCTGGGAAGGGGAACTTAGAACTTTCTGACTTGGTGTGTTTACATTTTCAACCCTGAAGTTGTTGCAGTACCAGAGTGGGCTTTGTAACTGAATTTCCTGTGTTTTTGTTTTGTTTTGTTTTGTTTTCTACCTTTCCTGTGGCATGTGGGGAGGGCCTGAGTGCAGGCCTTTGGCATGGAGTTATCACACCACCCACACAAGAACATGTAACTTTTCTTGTAACTTTCAGCCATGTGGCAGACTCCTCCAGCCCAAACCCCAGAAACCAATTCTGAATGAACGAGAACTAGGGAGAGTCAGAAGGGAATGTGTTTAAATACGTGAACGCATGAGCACGCATTCTATGTTCCTGCTGTGAGCAGGAGCAGCTATAGATGTCTTGCTAGGAGTGGGTGGGGTAGATGGAGTAACAGTGTGGAGAACCTCGCTATTGTGGAGTTACCTTTGGTTTTCTGGCCTGCAGAGGGCACTGTCCTAAGGGAGAGATGCCCCAGATCTGGCCATGTGGGGATGAATAATGGGCTCAGGCTGGTTGCCTAGGCCCATGTAAGAGCTGTTGCTTCTAGCTCAGTGACTCACTGATTATCCCCTTAACAGATTGCTAAAGTGGAGAAGTTGAAGCCCCTGGAAGTGGAATTGCGGCGCCTGGAGGACCTCTCTGAGTCCATTGTTAATGACTTTGCTTACATGAAGAAGCGAGAGGAGGAGATGCGGGACACCAATGGTAAGAGTTCATATACTCCCAGGGAGGACTGCAGCTGTAAGATCTATATTCTCACTACGTCTGGGTTAATGGGACAGAATTTGGAGATTAGGCAATTACAGCTGTCACTGTCTGTTCTGTACACTGTCAAGAGACCTTTAAACTTCTGGGAGGGGGACGCTCAACCAGCCCCTTCTAGAAGTCAGTTCCTTTCCTCCCACACAATACTCATGATTCTGCCATGGGAAAATAGCCTCATGTTGGTGCTGCATCTGCTCAGCCCCCAGTTCCCTCCTCCTCACCCTCAAATCTCCTAAAATTTCACCATTGAAGTTCTGCAGGGCTGAGGGAAGATGATTTCTGGGAGACCTTCCCCTCAAGAGGATCCTCTATCCTGACTCTGGGCATCAGAGCTTCTTTGTATGGGTTTGTCTGTTTCAGAGTCAACCAACATCCGGGTCCTGTACTTCAGCATCTTCTCCATGTTCTGTCTCATCGGACTGGCTACCTGGCAGGTCTTCTATCTGCGTCGCTTCTTCAAGGCCAAGAAGCTGATTGAGTAAAGGGGTAATTCCCCTTCCCCTCCTCTCAAACCCAGCTGGACACCGCTGGGACCCAGCCATGGCCCTCCAGAGCCATCTTGCAGATGATACATGCTGAGTGGAGGTTTTCTTCAGGAACTGTCCCTTAAGAGGGGAGGGGAGTATAAGCACTGGAGACTACAAAGGGGCTTCTGACCTCCTGGTGGGGGCGGGGGAGGTTGTGGTGGGTTTGGGGACTCCTAAAGCAGTGATGAAATAAAATTTGTTTCTGTGACAGCTGCAGTTGGTTTTGCAGGCTGTCTTTTCTCCTTTTATATTCTTCTAAGCTTGGTGTCTCCCATCTGTCTGTGACCATTGCGTTACTCTGAGCAACTTGAACCGGCTATGCTCATTAGGTGCCATGCAGCTAGAATTTGGGGAGGGGGGACTCCGAAGTTCTGGAACCCAACCCAATGCAAACAGAACTTGGTGCAAAGTGACGGGTTGCAGTGCTAGCAGGGAGGGGGCACTGAATTTTAGCCTCTGTCATAGACCTTGGTGTTTCTCCCTGTGGGAGATGGAATCTTTGCGATGATGGGTCAATGCATTCAGGCAGATAAGAGTTGGGTTTGGAGGATGGGGGGCTAACAGGCTCTGCAAGATGTTGCTGAGCCTGAAGAGAAACCTGCCTGACTCAAACAAGCTGTTGAGAGTCAGCCCCACCCTGTCTCCACATGTTTGTCTTGGGTTTGCTTCTCTTTCTGAAACGATGCAGCAGTTCCCTGAAAGCGCTGTGGTCACTGAGGGACCTTTGTGTGGAGGCAGAAGGCCTTGCTCAGATTCAGATTTGCAGTGCATTGCTTGGGCCCATCTTTGGAATGGGAGCATGGTAGGTTGGGAACTTTGTGAGGGCCTCTTCTCATCTGACTCTGTTAGAGTTAATGCCAAGTGTAGCTGGCTGGACCTTCATTCCCTGTACATGACATGCCCTGCTTTGTGTTCTGGGGATGTGTGGGGCGCCCGACAGGCTGGCATTCAGAGGAGCCGAGGGAGTGCAGATGAAGTGGAGTACAGTACACAATGGGAACACGGATGTGCCCCTTCTGAGGGTCTCTGAGTTGACGAGCGCATGTGACAATTGCAGAAATGTCTTGGGGACTCCCCAAAACTGGTGAGAGTAGCTGTGCTGTATGTAGTGAGAGGCCCTCTGTAGTCCTACTGCCTCTAGCACAGTGTTGGATTAAACAGGCCAGGTAGGTTCATTTCCTGGACTTATCCCACGAGGGTTTCTGGGCAGAATGATGAAAATTCTTTCACCTTCCCTTAGAGCAAAAAGACCATCAGGGCCTAGCCCCTGGTCACACACCCCTTGTCCTTCCAGCCCAGAGGTCTCCCTGCCATTCAGACAAAGCAGCATTTGTGTTTTCTGAAATTATGTTGGGAAATGTTTTTCTAGTCTGAATTTATCCTGCTAAATTAAAAAAAAAAAAAAAAAAAAAAAAGACCCAGAGGCAGCCAGGAAGGAAGAGGAGAAAATTGAAAGCAAGACCCTCCATTGTCTTCTAAATCCATTAGACAAGTCGGAGTTTTGTATCATTTGTCCTGAAATCTTGTATCTTTTTAGGCTTTTTGCTCTTTCCTCACTAGCCCTCCTCCCCCTTCCCCACCTACAAGATCCTGACCTCGTTAGTTCTACCTGCAAGTGCCCAAGCTGCTTTTAATTTCTGCTTTTTTAACAGCTCTGTTCAGAACCCAGGGCCCACCTGCTTTATCCCTTTAAGCACTGGGAAGCTGTTACAACACCACAGCAGCAATGTCTCAGGATGGGACTGAGCTAGAAGAGATAGTTACAGGTAATTTAGCTTCCCACAGTCTGAAGCCTGTAGCAGATCTGCTAAGGCTTAAAAAAGTTGAGAATGAAAAGAATGTTTGGAGGCGCTTCTCCTGTCTCTGCTTTTGCTCACCCCTTCGCTAAGTTGGCACACTGAGATCTCTTACATAAAGGAGGTTGTGAGGCTAGCATTACATCCGGGTGACTGTTGCTCTGTAGTTACATTGAAGTTGCTCAGCCTCTGTCTCTGCTCTTAGTTCTTGTATGGGGACTGGGGAACAGACCTGGGGAACTTGTATAGAATTGCCTGTAATTACTGGTCTGGGGATTTTGTCATTTTTCTCAAATAAAGTTTCCTTTGGAAAAATAACCCTCCTGAATTGTGTGACTCTTGTCCTCTTCAGGCCATATTCCCACTAACTGCATCTCCTTGCACTCCTGACTGCAGGCACGCTAACCAGGGAAATCTCAGCACTTAAAGGAGATTTGTAATTTCCTCCACTCTAACCTCAGTAACTGCTTGTAAATTAAATTTGTAAATTCTAAAGAATGTAAGTGAATTCTGGGCTGCTGAAAGGAGTCATGTTGATAGGCCTGGAGATTGCAGGCCTTCAGTTTGCAGAACAGGTACAGCACAGGCATCAGCAGGACAAACAGCACACACACTGACCTAGAAGGACCACCTCTAACAGGGAGAGTGTCTCTGGTTCATTAAATCCTTGCCCTCTCTGCTAACTATGCCATCTGATCATGTAGGGGCCATCTTTTGTGAAGCAACTGGACTGAGACCATCAAATGATTTCACCAAATAACTCTCAGCTGGTAACTGACATGGGCTGGTGCTCTGGAGGTGAAAGGCTCCGTATCTCATTGTCGCTTCCCCGTGACATACAGTCCAAGTTAATTCCTATTCATTAAGAGAAATGGGGTAGCTTTAGGTCTGTTCTACAGAGGGAACTTTAAATCTCAAACATGGGTTTGCCCCATGTGAGTGACAAATATGCACTGATTGGAGTGACTACTAGGCAATTTCCTTATTGTATACAGGCAGTGTCCCCTGTTGTGCTCCTGTACCTCTTGCTGGGAGACGCTGGAACTGTAGTACTGGAAGCGAGCACCCATTCCTGCACCATTTCTCCAGGTGCCCCATATGGTGAGATGGGTAATTGCTAACTCTCCTCATGACCTGTGCTGCTGCATCATTCTTTAGAACACCCCTGGCATTGCAGGAGTAGAGGAAAGGATTTCAGACTAGTGTTTTCAGGAGAGCTTCCATTCTCTCCTGTTAAGTGGTGTTGCAGACAAAAAAATCTATATTTCTATGGCAGCTTACTTTCTGGTGTGCATACTACAGACATCTCCAGAAGAGTTGGCTCCAGGTGACCTAGTACGACCTCTCATCCTGTACTCTTGCAACCATATTTGTTCTATTTATACAGTGCCTGGCACAATGGGGCTCACGCCTGTGGCTGCTATTGGAATAATAACTCTCAGTAGACAGCACTGCCATTCAACATTTCAGGTAGGGAAATTCTCAGCCCTGTCAGATGAGGTGTGTAGTCTCTCTGCATACATTTAAGTATATAATCACTAGATAGAGCTGTTCTCTCATCTGGATAGTTTGGATTTGGGTCTGGATCTCCTCAAAGTTCTTAGGGAGTTGATGTGGTTTGTTAATTCTGTCCCAAGTCTGAGCAATGGGCTGAAGCTGAGCTATTCAGATAATTGGGTCTTGGCCCATCTCTACTTGTGACAAACACATCACCAGTAGATGTAATTATTGAAGCAAACTGCATCAGACAGACATTGCCAGGCATCTTCCACCACCCATTGTAATGGAACATGACTAACAATTACTACATTATTTAGACAGTACATAAACATTTTACCTAGAACTGCTTTAACTCAGATATAGCCTCATATTCCATCTCTCTTCCTATGTCAGGGCAAATTCTATGCTCCGTTCAGAACACCTACTGCAGCTGCTCTATTTGTTGTTATGAAATTAACATCCTACACCATATCACACATCTCCCAGAAGACATCAAAATGTGTAACAAATAACCACAATGTGGAACACCTGTGTTTTGTTGTGTGCTGTGCCATAACTGAGGTAGATAATGTTTTTTAACTAAAACATGTTAAAGACATTTTCTTGCTGTGTGAATCAAATAAACCAATCTGTTAGAGACAAGGATAGTAGGTCCCTACCTGGGCGTCTCATGGAAAGATAAGGGTTTGGAAAAAGAGGGATCGTCCCTGTGAAGGTTCCCCAAATTCACTTAATGTTGGTGGACTCCCCTTCCCAATCACTTGGTTTAGGCTGGCCCTATCTTTAGCTTCCTTTGTTACTGCCTCCACCAGCACTTGCCTTCCTAAGGCCCACAAGGCCCTCAGGCTCTACTCCTCTCTCCCTCTACCCTTAATGAGCAGAGAGAAGCCTCTGAGAGTGGGAACTTAAGTGCCCTGGAGCTGATAGTTGCTGTTGGGAAAGGAGGGCATGCAAACTTCGGACTGATGCATCTTTCACAGGAGGGGAGCAGGGAGTAAAAAGGAGAGCATGGCGCCTATTAGCCTGTGAAGAGCACAGCAATTCAGGTCCTGCTCTGCTCTCTGCCTTTTCCCCTCCGCCTCCCTCTGTAAAAATGTATCATCATACCCAGCTGCTCTCCCCCTTCTGCCTACCCAAAAACAACCATGGGCATCCTTCTGGGCTCGTTTCCTTAGAGGCCTCTCCTTGTCACGTTATTGATTTGAACTGGGACCATATAGAACATGGTTGCAACCAAAGTCCTGTAGTGGCACCAAATCTTGTATAAAGGGGGGTCAAATGAGGTGTCTAAGACAAGGTTATGGTTTGCTGGTTATAATTAGGCTGTCTATATGTGTGTATCAATTTTGTAGTTGAAATTATGAATATTGGCTCTATACTGTCTGTATTTCAAACTTATGCTATGCTTCTGGGAAACTTCCCAGACAAGTTGGTGTTAGCTCTGCCTAGCCTGCTTGATGGCCTATTAAGGACCATCAGCTATACAATTGACCCATTGAGAGAAGGCAAATACGCCTTGCAACTCAGCAAAGTATGCAGGGACTGGCCCATGTAACTCCAGACTCCATTTTGCTGTAATTTTCCACAGTAAGGACAAAGGGATGTTCTTACACCTGGAAAAGACTATAAAAGGCTGATGTCTTTCCTCCATCTTGTCTTCAATCCTGCTTCATACCTCTGGAGGGACTTTGCTATGAATGGAAGCTCTACACAAAAGACTGATGACCCATCTCAGCTGTGGATGTACTCCAGTAACTTGATTTTGAACCTGCAGTTTATTTCATCACTGCTACAAGCCTAAACCAAGAACTTTGCCATTACTGTATGTAATTGATTCCATTTAACCAATTCTAGCAGTCATCTCTATCTTTTTCCTTTTATGAATAAACCTTTAGATTTTAGTTCTAAAGGATTGGCAACAGCATGATTTGTGGGTTCTGATTTGTACATTGACCTGGGTCTGGGGCTTGATCCTTTGGGATCAGGAGAACCTTTTTTCTTTTATTGGGGTATTGGTTTTCATAACCATTTGTCCCCATAACGAGGGGCACTGGTGGTGATACTGGGAAACTGGAGTGTCTAAGGGAATTGCTTGTGTGACTTGTGGTTAGTCAGTGGGGTGAGACCAAAGTCCTCTTAGTCTGGCTGGTTTGGTTTGCCTTAGAGGTGGAAAAACCCCAGCCTTGGGCTGTAACTGCCCTGTTTAAGCAATTTGTCCTGAATTGGCACTCAGTTGGGTCCCGCCAGAACAGCATCATTACACTCCCCCTTAGAGGGGAGATGGAAAGGGGAGAAGGGGGGCAGAAAGCAAAACGCACTGTAGAAGCATGGGATACTTGAGTTCCCTGCCATACCAAAAATATTAAACTGGTATTAGTCACCTAGCACAGAAAGAACGAGTAATGAGATAAAAGGATCAACGTATGTATGATATTTGGATGGTTTAATATGAATTTTCATATTATAACTGGACATTATAGTGAGATGCAAATTAGAAATACCTAAAGATTACATCCTATATCTGCACTACAGTGACAGATTATCTCCATACTTTGTTTAATTATCTAACATACGTGGCATATAGCTTAAGCAATATTTAGGTTATCTGGCAACCTTAACTTTGAGCTAAAGTTTTTAGCTGAAAATTTCCTTTTGGAGGACGGAGACGGGGAGAGGGAGAGAGAGGAAGAAAGAAGCAGAAGATACTTTAGGAGCTTAAGCTGATTTCAGTTATAAAGTTATATGTGGATAAAACTTTGGGTCAGAAAGAGATTTCAGATGAATTATTTTCAGTGTGTAAAGGGGTATGTGTAAGTCTTTATGTACTGAAAAGAATTTGGTGTATAAATTTTGATGCAATTGTAAACTCTTCAGGGCATGGTTGATGTCCTCCTGTGTGCTTGTAGAATGGTAGAGTGATTCCAGTTGGGGTCATTGCGTGCTACCACTATACAAATAATAAATAAAAAGAATAAATGTGAATAAAACCTCCTGCTGAAAAGGCCTCTTGGATTTCTGCCCTGTTTGCTAATTCCACATAGATGGGTTGTAGATGTTAAAAGTGCCTATATTTTCCTGCTGAATTTACAAT